TCCAGATGCATACGAATACCAACCAGTTTCCTGGCAAGTCACAATTATTCAAACTAGCCAATCAATATGAAAGCACATTCTGCCATGCTCTAGCTTACGATGCCACGTATTCCTCTCCAAAAAAACGCTTCAGTAGTCTCGCTCGAGAAATCGCTTTTGTGGCGTGGACGTGCGTGCTCGACTGTTCAGTAACTTATATAACCTGTATTCGAGTCACTTTTTACGCCACGCAATGCCGTCCATATGCCGCCCATCATCGTGTAAGCCTCGACCGTGACATTATTTTGGCTGCTGCTTCCTAAGTCTCAGGCGCTAAGGTAGATAACAACTGTCCTTTTCGTAAATGTAGCGAACAACAATAGCCATAGGATTTTCAAAGATGGGTGTGTTTGGTGGGGAGAAACCTTTCAGTACCACTGAAAAAATTTTTGGCCTATTAAACAGTTAGTCTCTTTAAAGCCTACTGTTTTCAACACGAAGCAAAATAACACGTATAACGAAACAAAAAACACCACCGACGCCATCGAATTTATAAAAATGGGGTCTGTCAAGCACCTCCTAATAACACCTTTCTGCCTATTTATTTTCTTTGCTTCATTTCGGTGTTCATGCATTGTAGCAACAATACCCTGACATCACCATCACTATTGCATATGCTGTGCTTTCAAGTTTAATACCTTCTTTTGTATCGAAGAACGCCCACTTGCAAGATAAATTATAACTGTTTCTCAACTGGTTCTTGAATCTCCAGAAGTCATTTGAGACATTATGCGATTACCGAGAGTGTAAGCTATGGCAATAATGTGCACTGTTGGAAAAACAGTTATCAGATCCCGCTGCAGAAGGCCCACGTATTGCGCAAGGCAAAATCGACACGACGTATTTAGGAAAGCGCATTTATTAAGCAATAAACACTGGGGACCTTGAAAGGGTGTCTTGCAAATGCTTAGCAGTGGGCGAGCAGAACAAGAGGGAGGGACATGAGGCAAGCCTGGACCATCACTAAAGCCGAAGCACCACTGGTTGTGTCTGACTGAGCTGCTGTGGTCACCGATGAATCTTCAACTGAGGTGGTAGTGTTCTTGTCTTTCTCGCCGTCTTCGGATTCACCTTGTGCAGCAGCACGGTAGGCTATAAGTAAAAAAAACAGAAAGGTGTTTTGAAGTAACGCCAATAGCAAGGAAAATAGGTGACAGAGGCATTAACCAAAAAACGGCATGCCAAGGAAGACGATTACGAAGATGAGCAGAGTGTTAAAGATAACTTTGTTCATCACGACGGTGCATAGGTCTAAAATAACAAAAAAGAAAAAAAAAGACTTGTGGGTGAGTGAATCCGGTGAGGACAAGGTCTGACAAGTTCAATAATCTCGTCGGGTGTATCAACTCACTGCAGACCATTCAAGGAGAGTTTCTGAAACGACAACTATGCAACGTACTTGTGGCTACTTTTATAGTATTGCGATCCGCATAAAATGCGATTGATTGGTTGTTTCGTCCTATGACCTAGATCAATAGGTATTGTACGCTGATGAGCCGTTGACGCGTAATTCAGAGTTCGCCTAGGTTAACGTACGCTGCGTTAGTCAGTTAAGGGGACATAAGCCGGCATGTGTGGCGTTCATCAAAGTACGTAGACATAGAAAATACTTGGATCTGAGTATAAAGGAGATTTTTCGCCTCATGAATTTAATAAATGCACTTATTTTTGTACTTATTAATTCATACTACCATCCCTGTTAATACTTTCATCAGGGTGTATTTTTTCGAAATATTCAATGTCTTACGCTACCTTATACACCTTTTTGAACAGAAATGTAAGGGGACGTTCATTTATAAGGGTGGATGTGGGGTAAAATTATCATACATATATCTGGCAAAAACCTTCAATAAAAATATTCTTTCGTTTCTGACATGTGCTCTTCTTCGAAGGTAAACTCGAAAGTCCCATGTCCTGGAAGAAAAACGCCATGTAGCCTGCGTGGACTTTGGTTTTGATTTTTGAGGTAGAGTGTATGGATGTGAGCCCAGCTGTTGGGGAATACTATTTGTCGTTAAGTCCGTAAGTTCTTTTGTTTTCGTAAAAACGCTAGAGCAGCTGTTATCATTTTCCATACTTTGTTGTCATCTAGTTAAGTTAACTGAATATACGTGGCAAAATGTGCATGATGAATTGTTTAGAGCTGCTCGATAAAGCAAAATCAATTTGGAGCTGACATGGCAATGATATTTTATTCTCCATTTTGGTGGAATAAATTATAATCATAAAAACAAATAATTGAAGAACGCACGTGTAAAAATTATGAGCTGAATAACTGTCCACTCTCCACAGCTATGCTCTCAGTTGTGCACCTTAATGCTAGGACGGATGCTCATTCTGTTGTCTTTACCTAATCTAAAGCTAAATAGCATCCTCACTGAAATATTTTACTCAATACTGCAGCTTATTTCAACGCATAACGTAAACCCAAGCGTATCCCCACATTTGACCAGAATGTTTATTGTTGGCGTTTTACTTGATACAACACACTGTTGGCGGTGGAGCTCGCGTTCCTATGTCTCCCTGTGAACACCACTTTGATTTTGCACGGAATCGGCTTTTGCGTATTTCACATAACATAAATAGCAAGGTTATCAGTTCAGAAATAGAAGATACAATCATTGCAACAAAAAATGTACTTGCTTGACTTTTCGGATTCTCTCGAGAACTCTTCACCAGAGGTAACCATAAGGTCTGAACCATGATTAATTCATAAACCGCTTAGCCCATCGCAAACACTGACATTTAGATGATAAGATTTTATTGTGAACCTACGTTCTACGCTATGCGAGTTCACTGAAAAATTTTATAATTGCTGTGTAGATAAGTGATACGTAATTTGTCAAATCAACATGCTCTTAACCATCTCTCAGTTTCTCGCACATAAATGAAGCAAAATAAAATTTATCATCTATAGCCTGCTTCCAAAATCTCAAATGCTTACAACCACTAAATAAAAACCGATTTTTGAAAAAAGGGCACCTGTTGAGGTGATACTTAATCCAAACCTGACCGCATTCATCCTTGGCATCTGAGGGCACCCAATTTCAGATTGCCTTCGCGTTTCAAAATGCAGAAATTCTGGGTCGAGGAAATGACCGCGTTGTCAGAGAAACGATCGAAGCCTGTCACACGGGGATTACCTCTATCAACCGTTTTGTGGCGCTCTCCACAGTCTACCAAGCCATCCGAACACAGCTCAATGAACGCAGTTGCAAACGTGAAAACAGGCTTTGCTTGAGTCAGTTCACGGTGGATACACTCGATGCCACACCACCATTCGTACCTGTCGAAGGGGCGGTCCTAATCGCAGCCGGATCATCTACTCATCCTGCAAAGGCAAAACCAGACGAACCTGTTAGCGCAGGCACGATTCTCAGCCTTGGACGACAGCTAAGGTCGGAGAGGATAATAGAGACAGCAGAAGAAGAACACCAGCATATAACGACAGGTGCGGCCGATGCGGGCAATGTAGGCAGCTACAAACGCACGAAAAACAGACCCAGACGACGCACTCTAGCGTCATTTTCGTCATCCGCAGACAGTAGTACGAAATGAGAAGCCCCCTGCCCTCAGGTCCCCTAAACTGAGGGCAGCTGCAAACGGTCGAAAAACAAACACTCGATGGTAAGCATTAACCGGTCATCATTATTTTATTTTCAAGGGACACGGTGATTGATGGGCCCTAACCGCCACAAATGCCCCTTCCACACAATTCATAACCCCCATTAACTTCGTTTGTTACCTACCTATAAGAACTGTGAGACGCGGTATGACAATTACCTCCGACAACGGAACCTCGTCGGTTTTTGAAACGTCAAGAAAAATACAATGATGTTTCCTGAGAAAGCCCTTTCTTATCATATACATCCCGTTTCCCATCCCCCAAAGAAGATGAAGAAGAAAATAAGGCGCCTTCATGGGCCACATTTTATTTTTGCTGATGTTTCGAAAACATACTTTTTTCCATGATCAGAGTGGTGAGGTTGTTGCTCCACCTTGCAGTGATTTGTTTTGTCTTGCCCCTTGTCTCGTATTACAGGCCGTCCTTCTAGACCCGGATTAGCTTTTACCCCTCCGTGGGCGACTGCGGACGACCTTGTGTGACCCCTGTCGCCCGCATGGCTGTTGTAGTCACTGCTATGTCTGCGTGCCGATCGCGTGCGCTATGATAGCTGCTGTCGGTACTCCGCTGATAGTCTGGAGGGTGGCTGCGCTGCCTCTGTCCGTGTCGAGCCAGTTAGTTTGTTTAGGCTCGCTTGTGGGTTGATGATTCACGTCAAAACAAGAGATGCAGCGATGGCAAGACTATACGGTCTACCCAAAGTTCACAAAGAGGGTACTCCACTTCGTCATTGCGCGACACACTCACCTTTAACCTGGCCGAATGGATGTTTCGACGTTTGAATTTCCTCACCTCAGGCTCCGATACGACAGTCAGATCAGCCACAGATTTCCTGGAGAGACTCACTGGGTTAAACCTCGGGACAGATGAGATCATGATATCACTCGACGGCATCTCATTGTTCACCTCGATCCCACAGAGCTTGGCCATTTAAACTGTAAGCAACCGACTTGATACCCGCTATAAAAAGGCAGCCAAAACACCCCAACGCGGAAATCTCATGCAGTTGATGAAGTACTGCCTCAAAACCTACTTTACCTTCGAAGGGACGGTGTACGAGCAAACAAAATGTACACCGATGAGATCACCGCTATCCCGTTTCATCGCCAATGTGGTCCTCCATAGGTTAGAAGCGTCAGTCTTCGCCACCCAGAAGC